CGCCCTGACTCTACTCTGAATTAAGGGATTACAAGGTCGTAAAAAAGGAGTTCATAAAAAAGGAATACTGTCATTAACTGCTAAGTGCATTATCAGTTAAATTACTCTTTGTAAATTTGTTTGCCTTCACTGTATGCAAGGTTGTAGTGAAGCTACTTTGAAGTCAGCTTAGCTCCCAATTTGATATTCTTTACATATGTAATTTTTTATTAAGAATTTTGATTATAATGGTAAAATCTTATACAAACTAAATGTAAAGAAAAAAAGAATAGGAAGGAGTAAACAGTGCAAGACAAAAAAGAGAAGAAAAAGTAAGAATATAATAAACAGAAAAGAAATAAAGCAGTGACTTTGAATCTTCATCACAGCAAATATAAACAAATTTAGTGATTTTTCATCCCCTCTAAAATTGCAAACATTTATCTCTTTATCCCATATCTTATCTATAAACAAATCCACAAAACATCATCTTTTCAATCCAGGTGTCACGAGAAAGCCCAGAAAAGATTACTAGAAGAAACAGCCTTGATCCATTAAACCAACTTATATTTCTTTCTTTTATTTTTAACAGTCTTAATCTTAATCTTTAGTGTATTCAAATATTGACATAAGAATAATCTCTCTTCATTTTTACTTTGTTCCGTCACTGATATTTCTTTAAGACTTTAATAAGCCTTTTTTTGTAAATCCAGTAAAAAAAATTATCAAGATCAGTCTCTTGGTTTTCATTTGCATTTCATTTTTAAATCTTAAACGCAGTCAGTTTCTTTTATATATCCAATGAAACATCTTTTTCTGAATCATTATCTTGGCCTGTCAGTTGTAAACTGACTGACACTCAGTGTTAAATGTGCTTTTACTTTACTTTAGCAGTGCAGACAAAAAGTATTTTTTTCAAAGAAGCATAGAAACACCAGATAGCATTACTCTAGTAATATAGTATATGGGCTGTTCTGATTTTTTGCACATCAGAGAATTATGATAAAATACAGATTCTCTATAAAGCAGAATTTCTCAGTTTACAAAGTTGGTAGGAGTTATCTAGACATTTGCATAAATTTGAGAGCATGGATATTTAGGGGGTTTTCTTTCTCTCTCTTTTGACACAGAATAATGAAACTGCTTTGTTGACAGAAACTTTTGCAAGTTTTTTTAACACCGTTTTAAAATACTGTACCTGGGCTCCATTTCAACCATTGTTTCCATGTCGGAGCTGCAAAACAGACACACAGTAATTCAGTAGTTGTTACACATTTCTGCAACTAATTAGAAATGATTGAATTTTAAAAGTAAATGAATATGATCAACACTCATAGACTTGTGATATACAGTATAATTCTAGATTCAAGTCACTATAGTTGGTCATCCCAAGCATCAAAACATTCTTATTATTATTATTATTATTATAATTTAATTTATATAAAATAATTTTTCTTAAATTTATATAAATTTAATTTATATAAAATAATTTTTCTAATAAAAATATTTTGATTCTTTTTTTTAAAGAAAGACCATATTAGATGTTTTTCATTTCTTTATGTTGTATGACATAGAATCAAATGAATTATCATACCTGACATCTTCCCCTGTCTCATTGTCAGGAATGCTGCTGTAATATCAGAAAAAAAACCAGACAAAAATTATTAACATATTAAAATATTTTCTTCACAGCATGATCCTATCCTATTTTGTATGACACACTGAAGCAACTTTATATATTTTGCAGTTTGAAGACAAATGAATGTTATTTTTCAATTAGACACAAAGTTAATGCAATATGATCAATCTTCTCAGTTAAAAGTACAATGATACATAAAATGTCTAGCTGGTTGTGACCCACATGAACATGTAGTTGGTTGTGACACACAGAGAATCTACAGTATCTGCTCATGTGGATTAATTAAATGAGGAACACGAAGGTATTTAGCAATTATATGCAGTATCAATACATTTCAGGATTCCCTGTTATAGTAATATAATTCAGATACATTAAAGACATGATAGGCCTGTACCTTAAATAAAAAGCTACACAGCAACTAAAAGGATAAACAAAATTACCTGTTCCAGATCACATTCCCAGATGTCTTCTGCATCTCTCCAAGTATTCCTAATAAGAGAGATGATTTACCACAGCCTACCTGTCCCACAATCATTGTTAGCTGACCTGCAATAATAGAAAAAAATTATATTATTCTTGAAATGTTGACTTACATTCATGCCAGTCCAGAGCAATTAGGCAACTGATTAAATGGATCATTTTTTTTCTTATGCACATTGCTAAGATCATCCTTATTCACAGTACAGTATACATATTGTGTTGTAGATATGGATGTGATCCTGTTTCTGTTTTGTGCTCAGACATTTATTATTGCATAGTGTTTGATTATGAACATTTGCAAATCCTAATCATTATAATAGATGTATTAATACCTTGAGGAATTCGAATATCAATGCTGGATAAAGTTGGAACTCCTTCTGGCGTCCATGTGAAAAATCCATTCGTGACCTATGGTCGCATCAGCAACAAGAACATAAATGATCTATGTTGGTGCAAAACATCACTCATATTTTCCCTTTTAAAATGTCTTTTTTTAAAAGTATTAATAATAGACAACAGCTATGTGGTGTGTCTGTAAACCTGGTTCACAGATAATGGCATACAGAACATCCTTATCTGGTCTATGAACCCCTTCCCAAGCTTTTCCAATTCAATTAAAAGAAGCAATTTTAAATTTCTATTGCAACATCATAGAAGATAGAATGTATGATACAACATAATAGATCAAATAAATACTTCTCTGTTTCATCAGTCTGCTTCTTTCTGGATTAAGCCCATTGCATCTTGATTTTTAAATGAAAAAAACAAACATGGACCTTCTATGGGATAAGTAATACACAACCAAAATCCTTTAATTTTTCCTATCAGACTTTACAATTCCTCTCTTCATGTACAAAATGGTCATGTTATAACAATAATGTGTCCCTAAGTATTTTTTACTGGGAAGTAGGTTAAATTAACTCATATTAGCTTTTTTCCTTGTAAAGTGTTTAGGTCTGAAAGGCAATTCTGTATACTCATGGGGATAAACTCATCTGAACTAAGCATTGTTTATTTTTAACAGTTGATAAAATTATGCAGCATAACTACGAGCAATGCTAAACATAAGAATGCGTATAGACTGATTCAATACTGAGCACAGAATAAAAATAATTATATATCTAACAATTACATTCTATTTCTACTTTCTATAGACAACTACAGGGTGTCAAACTGCCGGCCCGTGGGCCAGTTGCATCATGCAGAGGCCAGGCCCGCCCCAGCTCCGGCAATGCGAAAAAAGCTGCGATACATCACAACACATCACATGACACGGCGAGTTTGACACCCGTGTCATAGAGAAATGAATTCTATAATTAACCACATTTATTTTATTAATATAAAAATAAAATCACACTAAGGAACAAAGGTGTTAGTAAGTGGAGGTTCATACAAAAGGTAGAGGAGATGAAGCCCTATAATCCATCTTCTAGTTGTCATACCAGATAGAGAACAACCTTGTGTTTATTTTTTAAAATTGGTTGAGATATGTCTGGAAACACCATTGTTTCCACAGAAGTCTTTCTTCTATTCTAGAATCTCTACATGGAGATTCTCAGTACATACTTAATGTGAGGAGAAATCCATACTGAATATGCTCAGACACTTTT